TGCTTCTGTAGTGGAAAATATGTAAGCATATGCCAAATAATTTTGTCAGAGAGAGAAATAATAGAGGATACAATTTTAAGAATCTAAGGAATGTAGTGGAGTTGACTATGAGCACTTTTACTAACTAAGCGAAAGGAGTATTTTTTTCAAATTAGTCATATATTTGTTTTTATTAAGAAGTTCAGAAATAGTAAGATAATACTTTTTAACTCTCATGAGTGATAATATCATGTTTTATACAGTTAATCAAATTATCTGTTATATTATGTGTGTAAGTTATGAATTTTATTTTCAAACTAATATTTTTTTTTTACTTTAAAAAAAATATTTTTTAAGAAAAACTAAAACAAAATTAAATAAAAGTGATTGGAATAGTTTTGAGTGATACTGAGAGGAACATATACAATATTAATGTTGAGGTTTCCTTAATTTAGAATTATCATTAAAAGCTCACTCAAAATTGATAATGGGCTTACTGATGTTAAGGAAGTTAGTGAAATCTCATAGTCTTATGGAAGGTGGCTTGCTTCTTAACCGCTTTTGTGTCGGTGTTGTGTAAATGTTGTGTTGTGTCGTGTCGTGTAACCAAAAAAAATAAAAAAATGTCAAGAAAATTCTGTTGTTTTTATTAAATTCCATCTTTCTTACCAAATATTATTTTTAAATAAGAGCATGTTTGCTATTGCATAATTTGAATGATAAATGCTTGTAATTATTAAAGAAAGAGGTAAAATTATTAGATGGCCAGAATGAAGAAGTATATGTGACAATACTATCATAGTTTGGTGCAGAGTAGAAATGATACCCTGATAGGATGGATGAAAATTATTTTACAGAAGATTATGGACAGCTATTTGAACTGTGGCAACCTGTAAAGCCATAGGATTCACATAAAAGCTTGTTAGATTTAATGTAGGACCCATTCCATGTCAAATCTTCCAGAAAAAGTTTGAATGAAAATTTATATATATTAATTTAATACACAAACAAGAAAAAATGCCACATTTTAGTTAATACTAACAAGTATTTTCAGAATTATGGTCATTTGAACTTTCCTATGTAAGATCAAAATTTATTGAACTGAAGCTTTCAAAATTTATGGATTTGTATATTCTATTCTATGCAAAATCAGATGATATCAGTATGAGCATTATAATTTTTCTGGTTAAATAATTCTTAAACATAAAAATTAATATTTTTTTCAAAGATATTTAAATAGACATCGAAAAATATCTGAAGCTAAAATCTTTTCTCAAATACTCCAACTCGACCATGTATCTTTGAAAAGAGCATGAAATTATCTGCTGAAAGTCTGAGCTCACTGTTTTTGCTAGTCATTAGATATTGCAGGTTGAAAATAATAAAAACTTATAGTTCCAAGAATGCTTTGTTTAGATTCCTCATAATGTCTAAACAGGAATTTTCGTCAAAATCTGTGGGATGGGTATTGCCACTGGAATAATCTAGCTTGGAGCGACCAAGGATTACTTCATTCATAAAAATATTCTTCCATAAATATTTTTAAAAAATGTGATAGGGACCTATGAAAGAATCTTGTTTCAACATACTTTAATATGAAAAATTAATATCCTGATCTCCTCTTCAATTTAAGAATTTATTCTATGTTTTTTGGTTATGATAACTACCAAATATACAGCAATAGATTTATTTGTGGAATTTACATGTTAACATTTCAGGAAATTTACTCCCATCTTCAGAACTTAAAATCCCATGTTTTCTTATCGATTCATGGCTTAAGTCTGATGTGATTCTTTGTCATGTTTTAAATTTATCTATAACATATATTTAAAACATGACAAAGGAGCACATCAGACTTGAGCCATGAATCGATAAGAAAACATGGGATTGTAAGTTCTGAAGATGGGAATAAATTTTCTGAAAGGTTAACATGTAAATTCAAGAAATAAATCAATTCTTGTAAATTTGGAAGTTATCATTGCCAAAAAAACAGAGAACATCATACAGCTTCCCAACAAAATGAAGAATTAAGAATTTATATTTCATCTATATTTATAAGGTATTCAGATGTGTTTGGAACAGAAATGAGCAAAATGCGAATCAATAATTACAACTGAAAACATAACTTAATGACCACACCAATTTTATACTTGATACAATAGCACTAGAAATATAGAAAAAATGTGATACGATTACCTGATTACAATCGTAATCAGAAACCTGATTATAATTGTAATCGTGTAATAAAAATCACTATAATCATTGATGGTTTCAAATGATTTTTCTGTTAATATAGCACATTAGCTCTTTTATGTATACATGCTTATTGTATACCATATCACATGGTCTAGCCCAAACTGCAATTCTTCTTATATAGGAGAAACCAAAAACCATTTAAAAAAGCGGATATATCAACACAAATACAGCATCTCCACACAAAATCCGTTCGCCTCGAACCTTGCCAAACACGCCATAACCCTCAACCACAGATTTGATTTTGAAAACCCAACCATACTCGCCACAGTTCCCAATCATCAAAACCGACTACTTTGCGAAGCTATATTCATCAATTTGAAAAAAAATAACCCAGTAAACCACAGAGTAGACAAAGAAAAGATCTGCAACACATATTCGAATATTTTTCGCCACCTAAATCAAATAGTCTATAGACATTAAAATTCTGTTTTTCATTTTCAATATATACTATAAACATAAACAGACATGTTTATACTCATACTATTAAAATTATGTAATTCTTAAATAAACATACTTCTATTATGATTAATATTGTTATTCTTAAAATATTGTATAATATATTGTCCTACGTATCATTTCAATCCATTACAATTGTCTTTATTATAAATAGTATTTGGCTATCCATTGTATACCTTTAATCAAACTATGTTATATTTATATTGATTGGCACCTCTTGCTTCTGTTCATTTCATTACTTGCCAACATTCACAATTTTGTAACCATAAGAAACAACGCAAATCTTGTACACATCTAAAATATTTAGTCAGTAAATTATCTACATTCTACTAACAAAAATGTTACCTTCCCCCTCTGATTTTGTTTACCTACCTTTTGCTATCTGAAAAAGGACAACTGAGAAATCCTCTCCCGACCTTTTCACTTACCTACCAAATATGTCAGTATTTGAAAGCTTCAGTGCTCGAACCATGGTTAGTTAGAGAAAATATTACAATTTTTTATAAATAAATTATATATATATATTATTTTGATTTTGTATAACTTTTTACATATTTCATTTTTAATATTGTGTATTGTAATAATAGTTAAGATTCATGTACCATCAAATCACTATAGTTTATTATTTACCATTATCGGTCATATAATATTATATCTCTGATTGTATTTTAAAATTTTCAATCCTGAAGATGACCCACGCGTTTGGGTTGAAACGTTGGCACAAATAAAAAATTAAATTTTTTTTTAAAAGACTGCGTCCTAAATATTTATCACCCATGGTATGTAGAACAGTCGACTAGCTTCCTTCAATATATTAAATTTATTTTAAAATTACCACATATCTATGGATAAGTTTTAAAATATTGTGAAACAGATTCATTAGGATGATATGTCAGTAACAATTCAATATAGTTGGGCAGAATCATTTTATTGTTCCCCTCTTTTGTGTTTCCCTCTTTCCAAGTTACAAGCCCTGATGAGACGGAAATTAAAAAGCTTAATCTCTGAAGAGATGTTTAGAAAGCAAAAGAGTCTAATATTTTAAATTATTAATAAATAATTATATGTGCTTTTCACTTAATAATAAAAAAACAAATCATAAGATTTCATTTGATTAGAAAATATGTCACTAATTTTAAGTAGCCATTTTAACTACAAGCATGAAATGATAATGTTTATGTCTTAATAAAATCCTAAACAGTATTCTTAGAAGAGAAACAAAAACATTTTTAGTAAGAGTTTACCATGAAAAAAAAATACAAATATTTTTACAAAGGAGAAGGGGGAATCTTCTGGATCCTCCGTTATCATTATCATTCATCACTGCTTCCTCAATTTTCTTTGCTCAATTCTATTGTTATAATTATTATTATTATTTTTTTTTTTAGAATTCCTAGTGAATATTGCATAAGTTATGTCTTACCTGTCATTCCATGATTTACCTCTTTTATTTCCCTTGAATTGGTTTACCACATTTATAGCATTCATTACCTGTCACCTTTCATTTATTTCAATTATCAATGAATTAATCACATTTTTGCACCATTAATATATCTCACTATCCTTAATGATTATCACTTATCCATGTCTTATTTTAAACATATTTACTTTCATTTTTACCCTAATTTCAGTTACAGGAGCATGATCATGATTTCATAGTACTTGGTTTAGAGCTACGTATTCATAAGTATGTGATTCTTCTTCTTCTCACCATACCCCTCATATTTTCACTTTGTTCATGGCTTTCTATTTATATTAATTAATTAATTAATTTTAATTATACATGGTGTCAGCTTATATGCTTAACATCACATCTTATTATTGTCTGTTTTATTACATGATCTTTTAGCTTAAATTACTTCTATATTTTTATTTTGTTATTTTTTTCTTTATTCAATTATATCTTTCACATCTTATTCTTCTATTCATTTGTGATCATTTAACTTTTCATCCATAATTTGTAATAGTAATTTTTATATATATATTTCCATAGTTTTATACGTGGGTATTTTTATTGTTGTTATTTTCTTTTGCCTTGCTCTGATATAGAATGAAATGTCAGCAAAGATTAAAAATAATTTTATATTAATCTATGTGTTTTCGTCTTTAACCATCAAACCAAATTCTAGAAATCATCTTTCATTACAGTGAATACAATGCAATCTGTATATAACTTTTAGGAACTGCATCATTATTATCTCTTTATTTCCTGCCTAGTAGTTTGAAATTATAAAATATTCATATCAATAACTAAGCGAAATACAAAATTTCGAGATTAGGAATTAACAAAAAAAAAAAAAAATATTTGGTAGGAAAGAACTTTTTTTATTAAAATTTGTTAAATAATTTTTCATACTGTCCAGTATTTTAGAATTCAAGAGTTTTCTTATTTTTTTAAACATACATATACACATATTCACACGGGCATTTTCATAAATAGTCGTACTTTTACATTTTCATTACTTCACATATCACTAACAACAAAAATTTGTCAATTAAATTACAAACACATGTCTCATCACAATTAAATTATATCTTAAAATTTAATAATATACATATAGATATATGCCTATATACATATAATATATAAGTATACTTTATAATATACATTCATATTATTTACAATTTATCAATTACAAAACTTTATATAATGAGCACAAAATAAATACCAAGGACTGGATGGTTGAAACTGTTGGTACATAATGGTGTTAGGGAGAACAAATGGGCATCTATAAGCCCTGAACACATACCGATGGCCCACTGACCACTAAATGGTTGTGGGCTGAACTTTATGTCAATGCCACTTAGCCTTTTGTGCATATATATCTGCCCTCAAGTTTTGAGCGAAGCATATACTAAGTATCTGAAACATACAAAGAAAAATTAAAATAAACACAGGCAATGAACAATTAAGGGGAGATTTTCATAAAAGAACCATATAGATTGAAGAGAGAAACTCTCATCATAATAATCCACAACATCTACTCTAAGCATTTCATAGATTAATACAAATACACTCTTTAGTGCATCATCAATGTGCAACTATTGCAAGATTTTACCCATCAAAATGAAGAGGTAGATGTGGTCTAACAAAGATTGGAGAGATGAGCCAAAGATAAGAATGAACTAACAAAGACAAAATGAGTGCAGATATAATAGAGGGGACCATGCTAAGCTGTACACTGCAACTGAGTTCTGGTACTGTCACATTATCCAGCAATTTTTGGGATGGCATCCGAATGTACTGCTATTTGGGCCCTCAGTTCTATTAAAACTCAATACAAATTTTTCATCCATGAAAGAATTATTTATTCATAATCAAGCTATAAATAAATAGTATTAAAATTTTTTAATTTGTACTAGTCAATAAATAGGTAAAATAAAACAAAAAGTTGATCATAATTGAGAAGACGTGATTGATGGTAACAGTAAAATAAAAATTAGTATAAACTATTAACAGTAATGTGAAAATATGAAAGACATAATAAAAAGAGGAGATAAATAATAATAGAGATAAAATTAGTAAAACATAAGTAGTAATGAATAAGTCATATTAAAAAAAGTATAAAGAATGACTTTGTTATGTTTGTAAAAAAACAAGATACATAAATATGAATAAAGCAAAATAATAAAATTAATAAGAAAATTAAATAGTAATATAGAACAAGTGAGTAGGACAAGTAAGTAGACCACAGTGGTCTTATACTCTGAGTCCTGGGTTTGAGTTTGGCTGTGGCAAGTAATTATTTATTCAGTTAATCAGCTGTGGATTGATATTGAGAGACCCACCTGGGTCACACCCTGTTCTCTCTAAAGTAGATAATCTTAGTTAAATAATCGATTAAGGTTAAAAATCAGGTGGTTGAGCGTGCTCTCAGTCAAATGATCTCGTCACGTAACTGCTGACCTAGAAACAGTACTTCTTTACAAAGTACTGAACCCAAGACAATCTATGGGCTGTAGTGGTAAAGGTTTTGGTACAAGTATAAAGAATGATATAGCGACATGATAAGAGAATTGGGTATTATTATAGTAAAAAGACTCAATGTTAAATAATAAAATTAAATAGTTAGTAATAAAGACAAAAATAATAATAGAGTCAGAGTTAATAATCAAGTAAATGAGAGAAAACTGAGGAATCATATAAAATAACATATAAGATACAATAATAATAGTATAAAAAAAAATCTGGTGTGCGCAATACACAACTGTCACTCATCTCTCTACTTTGAATAGAAATTATTTTCTGGCAATGATGGGCTATTATAAAATTTTTGAATTGCATTTTAAACGGAGCTAAAGCTTACAAATAGCAAATCATTAAAGCCATTAAAATTATAAATAGTCTATTTATTATATCGATGGTAGGCAATAAAAATCTAGTTGCTCCATCTGCTTTTATAAACCAAACAACTTCAGTCTCAGAGCCTTTCAGTAGACAGAATGACTAGCTCCAATTTCAACATGTTTGAGTAATGTCATTTTAGTAATACTTTTAGTTGGAAAAATTATATCTATACAGACAGAGAGTAACTTGATTCTAGAGTAGATGATTGCAGTTTTAAAATATAGTACTGTGAATAAAGGTATAAATTTTTTCTCTAGAAACATCACTAAAATTAATAATGAAGAATGTTGAAATTGGAGTTAGTCATTCTGTCAACTGAAATGCTCATATATGCCTAGAGAGATTTGAAAGTATATCTGAATATTTAAACTATAAATGATTATGGAATGTAGGACTATTAGTTATTAAACTGTTATTTTCCATTGTAAAGTTTACTAAAATGAAATTACGAGATTTTCATTGCCTGCCATAGGTAGGTCTAAAGTTGTCACAGTAATTTGAAGTGGATAATGTTTGGATTTCACAAAGGGAAAACTCATCAAATTATTCACTAATTTAATTTTCTAAAAGGTCATATGATGCTTTTACGGAATAGACGAACGATAGATACCTAATCATTTAAATATAATATCATATCTAGGGTTATTAAATTACAGTAAATGTATTTAAACTTATAGACATATCCATGAAATATTTTTATATTTCACACAAGAGTACAATGAAATAGTGTTTTAAACAATGGCATTGGCTTGATTTGGTTGATTTTAAACACTTTTTTTTTCAAACTTAAAAAAAATTTAAAAGTTTACATTTAGTAAGAAAATTTCAATTAATTTCCAAGGAAACATGTGATTTATGTTAAATAATATTAGTTTTCTGAAATTATTATTCATATTTTTTCATCACTCTCCATTACCTTCTACAATTTTATTTATTTGATATTATTTTTCTACGATTCTCCCGTTTCCAATGATATATTAATGTATACCTTCTGACAGTTATTTCTGGAGATTCATTTTCAATCTGGAAAAGCATTTATCTTTTTTTCTTCGGTTTCCAATTATCATATTCTTTCAAACTTCATATTTAGCCATTTTTTATAGTTACTGTCAATAAAAGAGAGTTATTTTTTAAAAATAAATCATATTAAAGGTACTTTAATGGCTGGAGAGGGAGATGGGTGCGGGAATCTCCCCACTCCTTGTGGAATGAACAAGCAATAGTGCCCTACCCACTGCTTGTGAATTCCCAGTCCTCCCTATCCCTATCAATCTATCACCTGGAGAGTCCGTTGGGACTCGCAAATGACAGAGGTGGGGATCCACACTTCTGACCACTAAATTAGAGGGGCAGTTGTGTGGATCCTTCTACGGTGCTCAAGCTAGGTGGAGGGTGCTCGAGCCATGGCTGCGTGGCAGGGGGTGTCTTAAATAAACATATTCTGTCTATTCGACACACTTGGGGTGCCTGGTGCACCCCATTGTAATTAATCTTCTGCAGGGAGAGGGGATAGTACTTGTAGTGACCTTTTAACCATCCCCACTCGTGGGAACAAAATGAATGAACCACTAAATAAACAAACCCGGACAGACAAAATTGGCAATGACTAGGAAATGGACACAGAATTATTTACGGAAATGGAACTGGTAGAGAAGGAAGTGACTGGGAGATACTTGGAGGGGCCATCAATGGACCCTTGTGAGGAAAATTCAAGAGGCTCAACTGAGACTATCTCAGCTAAGGTTTCTAAGCTCTCTGTAATAGCAGAGAAGACTAAGGGTACGGCTGGTGGAACTGGTGTCCCACTAAAACTCAAGTTCTCTGGTGCACAGAGAAGGAAATACAAAAGGATGAAGAGGCTCGAGGCAATGTCTGAGACAGAGCTACTGGTAACAGCAGCTGCAGCTGCAAAGGCACTAGTTAGTGAACAGCTCGGGCCAGTCACGAAACGAACCAGATCCTCGCCGGGAAATTTGATGCCTACGGCAAAGAGGGCCAGAAACATGGAAGCTGGTGCAATTTCCTATGCTGCAGCGGCTGGGGACAACAGAGTGGCCATTATCTCTTGTGGATATCCATCTGTGCAGCTTTCCAGGGAGCAAAGTGAAGAAGTTAAAGTTCAGGTGATCAAATCTGTTGATCGGCTGGAGTTCGGTGGCATCATCCCTGAATTTAGTGGCTTCAGCCACCATCTGGGGAGATGTATCATCGTTTGCGATGATCAAGCCACCAAAGACCGGTTTTATAGTGTAACGGAGGGCTTCACTACCAGTGGGGGTATTTAACTTCGTGCTGGTAATGTAGAGGAACTAAAGAAAGATGTCAGGGTGGGGGCATACTTCCCTGGTGAGAAAATCGCGGAGGAGCTACTCATTAGGATTCAAAATGATAGGATCCCGGACATCGACAGTTGGCAGGTGTTGGGAACTAAGGCAGAGACGAATGGACACTACGGAATCCTTAGAGGTACAAGTATCAAATACCTTGAGGGCAGGAACATGATGGTGACGTATGGCATGGCCAAAGTTGCACTTAAGGTGTTTGAGAAGAAGAAACCGCCAAAACCTAGTGCGCAGACCGCAAAGGTGGGTACTGCTTCTTTAGAAGTTCCTCAGGTAGAGGAGGTAGGGAGAACTTCTGCTTCCACTAGTGGAATTATAATAGCGTCTGAGCCAGCTCGGGAGGGTTTATCTCTGGTGGATGTGAGGGGGAGAGGTCTACGAACTTGAGAAACATGAAATCAGAACGGATGTACCCCTTGGTTCCCGGCGGAGGATGGTTCCATTTAATGATGGTTAAGCTGTAGCAGGTAAATCTCCATCACTGCGTGGCAGCCCGTGGAGTGCTTCAGCACTACGTTAGAGGTAAGTATATATATTAATATCGTATTGATTCAAGAACCTTACCTGTTGGAGAACAGGATTAGGGGTATAGCTGGACATGACTGGGTATAGCATTATTGCAGTGCCTGAGTGTCCGAGAACCTGTGTCCTGTTCAAGAATAGAATTAAGCTGATGCCTCTGTTGTTTCAGAGACCTGGAAACAGCTCAACTGGCCCTTTCTGAAGGTAAGAATGGAGAGAGAATTATAGTGGCGGTAGGGTATCTCTCCTATGAATAGGACATCCCAACAGCGGCTCTCATAATCTTAGGAGAGACAATGGGAAAAGAAGCAGTGACAGGGAAAAGATGATTGCAAGACTGGATGCTAATGCTCGCCACAGGATCTGGGGAAGTTCTAAGAACAAACGGAGAGGTGTCCCTTTTAGAGTACTTAAGTAGCTTCGATATTGACATTATGAATAGGGGAACTGTTGCCACATTTATTAATAGAATCTACTTGGAAGTAATAGACATAACATTATGCAGGTGTTGCTTGAGTTCTAGGATAAGAGGATGGCATGTTTATAGTGAAGAATCATGCTCTGATCATTGTTATATCAGATTTGACTTGTCTTGATATAATGTGACTGGGTTTGTATACAGAAACCCAAAAAGCACAAATTGGTAGAGATACTGTATACAGTTAGAGGAAGAAGTCAAATGCTTTCCTAAGATCATTAGGAACTCTTGGCATTTAGAATGCCTCAAATCCTCATTATATGATACTATGAACTTGGCAAGCTAAGAACCTTAACTAGGAAACTCTTTAATGCTATCAAGAGTACGGGCAGATGAATACGCAACCCATGAGCATGCCCTAACAGAATATAATAAGGCTGTATGTAGGGCAAAAAGGGGGGTGGGTTGAAGCCAAAAGAATTGTGAATTTAATGGGCAATTAATTCTTTTGCACCGTTCAAATCAGCTGGTACTGATGGGATTTTCCCAGCCCTGATACAAAAGGGCTTACAAAAGTAGAGGGGTAGGACATGTTACTTTGGAATGGATTAATTCGGTTCTGAGAGAAAGAGCCCTTAAATCTGAGTTGGGACTATCTGTACAGTGGTTTAAACCTGTTGGAGGGTGTCCACTGGAGAGTGTGCTGTCTCCACTTTTGTGGTGTTTGGTCGTCGACTCCTTGATTGTTAAATTGAATGCGGCGGGGTTTATTCTCAGGGATACGCTGACGATATTGCGGTATTGATAGGGCGCAAATTTCCAGATACTATCTCTGAACTGATCAAAATACTATGAGACTTTTGAAGGAATGATGCCAAGAAAATGACCTTGGCATAGACCCACAGAAGATAAACCTCTGTTTTTTCACTAACAGAAGAAATATTAACATTAGACCACCATCATTAAATGGAACAATATTAAATATTTGTAGTGAAGTAAAACATCTTGGGATTACTTTAGATAGTAAGTTAAGCTGGCTAAATCATATTGAAAAGATTAGAGATAAGGCTATACACTGTTTATAGGCATGCAAAAGAGTTGTTGGCAAATCGTGGGGGGCTGAACACAACATGGCCTTATGGTTATACAGAATTATGGTTAGACCCTTATTCTTCTATGCAACTGTAGTTTGGTGGCATAGGACAGCAGCAAGCAGGCCTAGAATGCTGCTTGGCAAGTTTCAAAGGCTTGCATGCCTTATGACAATGGGAGATATGAGCACTACTCCCACTATTGAAATGGAGGTTCTTTTGAATCTGACACCATTGCAGTTAGAGGTGGAAGCACATGCTCTCAGAACAGCCTATAGATTGGATAAACTGGGAACGAGATCAAAATTCTTTATGTTTCAGAGCCATGGGATCGTATTTAATAGGATTGATAGCAATGAGGTACTTGCGATGAACTCAGACCTTCAAGTCGATAATTATAAAGATACACTATATAATTTGAACATAAGTAGGAGTAACACACATAGACTATCTAATAGAGTTAACTGTTATACCAACGGCTCCTTAATGGAGTAGGGATCAGAGGCTGGCATCTGGGCAAACCCATTGATGGAATATTCATATCTCTAGTAAGATATACGTCCGTATTTCAAGCCTAGATTTTAGCCATCAATTTCTGTGCCCAATCACTTATTAAGGAGGGCGATTGATAACATTGTGAATACAGTGATAACAATATATATGGATAGTCAAGCGGCCATTGAGGCCCTGAATAGTTATGCAAGTTGCTCAAAGCTGGTGGATGAATGTAAGGGCAATCTTAAACTTCTTTGTAGTATTAACAAGGTGAGAGTAGAATGGGTACCTGGGCACTCAAGCATTCCAGGAAATGAGAAAGACGATTACCTTGATAGGAAAGGCTCTGCACAGGTGCCAGTTGCAGCAGAGCCTATTTGCGGGATAAGCCTTGGCTTTGCCAAAAGGCATATTAAGGCAATCATAGGCAATAAATTTATGCTACACTGGGCACAGGCTAGGAAACAAACCCATTTTAAGTTATTCCTAATACGGCCCTGTCGTAAGAGAAATAATTCACTTCTTCTAATGGACAGGAATATCATTAGGTGGGTGACAGGAATGTATACCACTGGTCACTGTCAATTAAATAAGCACCTTTACAATTTGGCTGTAAGTGAGACTTCCACTTGCAGGCTATGTGGTTTATAGGATGAAACAGGATGAAAAATCACATTATTTGTAGATGTGATAATTTGGTTAGACAGCGATACTTTCACTTTGGATGTGATCGTATTACTGACCCTAAGCACTACGAAATGATTGATCCTACTAGTGCCAATAGGTTCGCAAACACAACTGGCCTGTTTTAACTGAGTTTAGGACGACACTCAATAGGCCTTTTTGCGGACACGGTGTAACCTTTATGTTGGAATTAAAAAAACAAAAAAATTACTTTGGCCGAAGATGTATATGAACATTGGGCATTTTAGCCCTGTAAAATGACATCAATGAGGATAAGACCTAAATGATAATAAATACCACTTGATTATATAATGATACACCGAGTTTAATCAAAATTGTTAGAGCCATTTTTGAGAAAATTGTAAAAATGTGTTTCACAGTTAATATAAAGTGGCACTTCCGGTAAGCCGATTTCAAGGAAAAAGTTGCGGTAACATCTAATGCATATACCTATGTTAAATATATAATATCAGTTTTGTAGGACTTTTCGTTTTAGAGCTAGACTGTTCACATATACACACAGACCATTTTGCGGGACTTGGTTATTTGGACTCAGGGACCTCAAAATGTGTATTTCCGTTGAAAACTAACTTAATATATATTACATATATAGGCAAGCGAAAATAATAATAGAGAGTACATGAATGAAGATCAAATAATCTCTGAAAGAAGCCGTTTTTGGAAATTCAGTAATTCCTCAACATATACGAGTTTTGTTTATCAGCAAATACTAAAATGAGAAAGAGTCCCGCATTTGCAGATTGCATATTTGATAATATGTAATTAAAAAACAAATTACAGTTCATAATGAATATGTATCTTGCTACTGTTAGTGCAAATGACATATATAAAAATTGAGAGTTTCACAGGAGAGCATAAAAACTAATTATTTCTTTATGATTTATTAGTATAATTTTATATTTTATTGCCAATTAAAATATAATTAGCAATAAATTCATAGTAGTAGACAACTTATATCAATTGCAGACTACATAATGTCAAAAATAGAATAAAAATTAAAAACTTTTACATACGACCTTTGCACTAACAGTAGTGATATATACTTAATAGGTATGTTTTAACTCGTAAAATGGATGGAACAAAAAATCCATAGGAAATATTCAACTTTTTGTTTGTTCAGAGTTAACGAGACCAATACTTTTCTTCAGTCAGAACAAAACAAACTAAGCTAATATATAAAATATGAGTGAAGTTGACACAATTTTAAGAGGAGAAAATCGAGAACACGACGAGCTGGTTGAACTTTAATGGAAATAAACATATCACAAATAAGAGGTTTTTTTTTTTACAAATTCAGAGTAAAAATTAGTTTGAATTTACTGAAAATTACACGAAATCTAAGTAACGGCAATAAATGTCATACCAGTAACCTTTGGAATCGACGAACCAATATAATATAAATTAATTTTTTGAATAAAACCTAAAATTTTATAACCCCATAACCATATTTTAATAACCGAACTCCCACTCCATATGATCGGTGCCTTCCACATTTCACAGCCATTATATTGTTAACAGTTATTTATATCAATTTTAATTATTAAATTGAATTCAATGAAATGGATAATAAGTAATTTCTATACTATTCCCCAAATTTCCTCCAAGTTTGAGTCAAATCGAATGTGGTGTTTCCAAACTATAGGCATATATTTTCACAAATACCTATCTTTTGTTCAACTTTGAGCCAAATCGACCGAGCTGTTTCTGAAATATTGGCATATCTACAAAAGTGCGTTTGCGCTTGCGTAAGGGGAAGTGCAGGTTAGAATTTAATAAAATTGATATGAGACCATCTAGACACCAACCTGCACAATTCCTGAAAATTTCATGATGACAGACAGACACCAAACCAAATTTGATCCTTGATGTCTGAAACTTAAAACGCGAGTGGAAATTTTCGATTCTGAGCAAATTTTTTTTAATCTCTAGCACGAATACAATGCTTCCCTTTGGTAGTGAGGAGGCAAAATGATATATTCTAAAAATATAAAGAAAATGATATGCTAACTACCTGACTTAGACAGTTACTGAAATATAAATGCTTGGATTGGATAGGGAAGGAAAAGTGAGGAGTATTACTTCTTAAACTCTCCTCTTTACCACTGAATTAAAAAAAAAACTCCAAAGAAAAAAAAAATTAAAATAATTTTAAAAAATTAAAGGAGGGTTACCTTTGCTAGAGACGTAAAAAAGGTTTATTACTCAATGATTAAAAAAAATGCATTATGATTTCTGTTTAGTAAGAAACATATTAAAAAATAAATAATGATCTCATATTGATTCTGTTTATTATATATTTGTAGTTAACGTTCGACCATCATGAGATATATTTCTAGATGGTGTCCAACTATAGGCTCTAAATCCATTTATTGGGCCGTGTAACTCTTACAGTAAATAAAAAAGGCATAAAACACAACATATTAATAAATCGACATGATAATATATGATTTGGTCAGTATGAACCAGAATGATGGCTTTTATATACAACTTTAAACTTATACAACCATGTCTATTTACTTAAGCATATGACAACTATTGAATAAAACAGTCTAGTATAAAAATAAGATAGGAAATAAGTAGACCTTCCTAATTCCATTAGTATTAGCCAGAATAATTACGATAAATGTAAAAATATCTTTAGAATTACAGATTATAATATGTTACCAATATAACGCTGACATTACAGCTAATAACGCAGTAGACAATACAAAAAATTCAGTTATTTACTCTAAGATAAATAAATAATGATATAATGGATTTAACTATTAAGAACTATAAATATATATATATATATGTATGTATAATTAAGGTGAATACATGCCTGGCAAAAGGAAACTGTGATGGCAGTTGTCACTATGACAAGAAGGTTTCTTTCGACCCATTCTTCTCCAGCTTGCACACAACCTTTCTCATTGATAATTTTTGAGACATCAAAGCTCTGTATAAAGTAAATGTCTTGTTTTATAGGTAATAATCGTCAAATTGCTCAAATCGAAATTTGAAAATTTTCTGTATAGTCCATTCTATATGCTCGGCTCTCATATTATTAATAAATAGGAAATACTGATTACAAATGAAATACGACAAAAATAGGGGAAAAGTGTAGCAATTAATAATATGTTTAATAAAAAGACATTTGAAATATTATGTGAATTTACTATTTTTATATAGTAAGATGAAGTTCTAATAATTATATCTTGTCAAATTTCATGAAATGCTAATTATTAGGGATAAAAATTAATAAAATATAAAATAATATGTTTTTCAATTCCCTTTTCATGAAAAGAAAGGATTGTGGGTAGTAAGTACGGTAATGGGCTCCTAACTTCCTTTTTTCTGATGAAAACTTGGTGTCTTAAATGGAAATCAAGGTGTATAATTTGGTATTCTGTATCATTAAATGTATTTTTATCATTTAGTTTTTGAGAAAATATTCTGAAGCCTTGAAACGAATAATTTGGTCATTAATTAATCTGATAGAGACTAAAGAGCTTGTTTTAAGTCCTGATGGTTTCCAAAGGTCAAACTCAAAATTTATAGGTCGTGTAAAAAAAAAGGAAAATTGTTTAGTGGTTATTATACCAACCATAGTTAAAATTAAATTCCTCTCATAAATAGTTATTGATTTATTACTAATTTACTTAGCAATAAATATGATAAACATAATATCACTAAATAAAATTTAAAAATAATATAAAATAAAAGCCAAAATGCTAAAAGGAAAGTATACTTCAATTGAAAGAGCTTTTCAACAATTAAGAGTTACAGCGTTGCACCAATCCAAATTGTTATGAAATAATTAGATAAGAGAAATAACTCTTCACCAGCATGCTATTAATTCAGGAATGATGGTAATGTTGCTTCTACATTTTTCAATCATTATCTATGCTAATTCTACATACAAGATTAACAAAAAAGGATTAATAAATGATTAGAAAAAGCATATAAGAAAATATAAATATAATTTTAATTATAAAGAACCATTAATAATATTATAACATAAATGTCATATGACAGTGCTTTAATAGAGATATCAAATTGGTATACAAATGTTGGCTTATGCCGTTTTCCTATGGAAGTAAATATTTATTGAGTTAGAGATATCAGCAATATTATTATTAGATAGGACACTAAAACTTGCTTGCACAGGTCTTGGTCTCTGCCAACAAGTGTTGCTATATTTCTCTTTCTTGTGCTGCCACCGTCCAATTTTGCACAAGCCAGGCTTGGGCATCCTCATTGACTCCGTCTAACCAGTGCACCATTGCCTTTCCTGTCCTGTGTGTTTCATGTATTTTTATCTATTTAGGTCTATCATTCTGAGTCATGTGTTAAGCTGAACTAAATATTTTGTACTTCTTTGGTTGAATTTAATGTTTTGTCTGTTGCCACTCTCCTACACATATATTTGTCTTTTCCTGATTGACCTATTTGTCTTTTCCATACCTAGTTGCTTTGCTGCTTGTTTTAATTTTTCTAATATCTCACTTATTATTTCACGGGACCTTGCAATCAGGATAACATCTTATCAACCCATAAATGAAGGTAGTGGACTTCTTGACTCGGTTTAAGCTAAATCATGGAGTTATATACCACCATCAACACTTTCATTTCCAAAATCTGCAGTTGAATCCTAATCTTTTGGCAAAACCAGTAAAAGGTCTGTTCATTAAATAAGTTTTTAGTAACACTTAATTTTATCTTCTATAAAAAAAAAAACCATCCTATATTTATAAATCTTAAAAAGAATTATTAAATAAGCAAGGATGTTAAAATAAGATGTAAAAATAGTTCACAATAAAAATAGAAAACTATATACAACTGTATATTAGAAAAAACTAAAATTTAATTCTATAGCCTACCTGAGTTGTTACAAGAAATACTAAAACACCAGAGATATGAACAACGTTAGCTTCAATCCACTCCTCTCCAGCGCGTACACATCCTCGCTCGTATATATTCCTCTCATCATTCTCCGATGGAGAAATCTTAGCCCAACCATCAGCAAACTATCCACCACCATTAATAGTTAGTAAAATTGTTAGTAATGAAAAGCATTGGTTACTCACTAATTTTTACAAATAACTTAAACATTTTAAGAGTGAATTAATTAATAGAGTGAAGTTTAATACATAAACAGGTAAAATAGAGTGACAATTTTCTAAGAAAAATGATAGTAACTTTTTTAATTTAATGATTCTAATGTAATTGAAATCGAGAACAATGAAATTATTCTTGGTTAATTGAATAGTAATTTTTTACTACGGAATCTCTCTGATGAGTATTTATAAACAATATTAATAAGAGAAAATGTTGTCTTTATTTGAAATCAATAATATTAATTAATACAAATTAATCTTTGCCAGTTAATTGTGCCAATTGATAAAAAAACACTACAAAATAATTAAAATCTCTCTAAAAATAATGAATTATAAATAGTTCAAAATTAATGAGTAATAGCTAAATACTAAAAGCACGAAAGTCATGATAAAAGCATTGTTAGAAGTAGAGTTTAACGAGTTTGCACTTTGTACTATAAGACAATGATTCTCAACCTTTTGGTTCATGGGAATAATACATTTATCTGGAGAAACTTAAAAGTGGAAATGTGATTTTTTTATTTTATAACATCAACAAACATTAACTGATATATTATATTACATAAGTACTAAGGAATACTGGAGTACTTGGCTAAATTGTAAGCAAATTGATACAGATTAAAGAAATGGTAATAGACATACATGAGCTGTACCAACAGTACAAAACAGAAGAGGAGACAATTTTCTAAATTTTATTTCTTTCATGTAGAGAGAAAGGGACTCCATGGTGACAAGGGATAATACACATTGAAAATAATACTTAATTTTTAAACAGTAGTTTGCAAGGATTAGCTGCAAATAATATTTTTATTTATTCCACCAAACCGCCAGGTTTTCATAATATATATATATATATATATATATATATATATATATATATATATATATATATATATAATATATATATATATATATATATATATATATATATATATATATATATATATATAGTTTTGATTATGGAAAACCTTTAGGAGAGAACCACTGTTAGGAGAAGTTATTCAGTTGCAACAAAAGCAAAAGATTTCTAAAAAGTAGAAGTTATTTCAAATATAAAGATAGTCTAAAATAAGGGTTATTTAAAATCCTAGACAATTAGTAATATTGCTGGCTACAACAAATTAAATCTTTCAATATTTGTAATTTTGAATATAATAAAATAGGAATTATGTCACCATAAAAAAATATTTTATTTAAAATTTTTGGACATTTACTAGGTAGTTAACTAATGTCATGGACTAGAACAATGTAAAAAAAAAAATGAATATTTGGTTGAAACAGTAAAACTCCTCACACTGTAATTGAAATCCACAAGAGCCTACTAAGTCCTAGGCAAAATTATAATGAAACAATGTATATTTAGCCAAAGTACAAGAGATATTTTTTTATTCAGCTGGACCATCTTTTAACATATATAAAAAAAATATCTTGGAAGAATACTTCAATAAAGCTATACTTCTGAAATGCTCAACAAATCTATTACCCCTTTTTTACACAAATGCATAAAAATTAACACTTTAATATTAAAATAATTTATTTTATTTTATCAAAATTATAAAATAGTTAATTATTTTATCTAATTAAAATATGAATTTGTTTATTTATGGATTAAAAGGATTTAATATATTTATGTGTTGTGTTTGCTTTTAATTCTATCATACAGCTTAAAGTTGCTACATTTTTTGTTGCCTATCTCTATACTTTTCTTTTCATTATGATATTTAGGTGAAATATGAATCTTGTTTACTGACAGAAAAGCAGGCAAGAAGGATGATAAAAAGGTTTGATATGAGAAAAACTGAAGTTACAGACAATATTTTGGTTTTGGTGTTGATAAGATCTCTTAACATTTTTTAAAAATTAGCTGCAGAATAATTATTTCAAGCTGGATTTTGTTTTATAACTCTGTTTGTTAATAATAAACATGAACGTATTATTTGGTTGATTGGGGAGGGGCGATCCAAATTTTATGAATCTGAATTTAAACTTTGAACTAAAATTGTTTGAAAAATTAAAATACAAAGGTATTTTCTGATAATTGGTCCTGAATAGGTGGCTCAATAGATTACCCAAGCAGTTGCTCTATTTAAAAATAAGAGGCCTGAGTAGAAAACAGAAATTAATGGATTAAGGAATTACTCAGGGAAGAAAACTACAAACTTTAAAGGCTACTACAATGTGTGAAATGTTGATTGTAAAGGAGTTTCACTGTTAATAATATTTTAATTAACCTCAACACTATTTAATAGATTAAATAGTGAGAAGAGCATCAGAATGGACTAAAACAAATTCTTAAAGTATTAGTCAAAATCAAGTATACTTACAAAGCCCTCACTTGGTTTCCTTCTTACATCATACCCACACTGCTTATTCTTAATAATTTCCTAACAGAGACAGAAATAAAGAAGCTATGTTAAACCATTAAATAAAATATAATTTATAAGTTATACATTTTTTTAAGTTTCTACACTGATCATGGTGATCATGAGGAAAGCATTCTGTTATGTTTTTTCACTAATTACTTTAATTCTCAATTAAGTTATAACCTTAATTTTATGATTACCTGTCAACCCAATTCGGACTTTTGCAATAGGAGCCTTAAAAGAGGGCTCCTATTGCAAAAGTAGCACTATGGAAGGATAGGGAGCAGACTGATAAGATGAAATTTGATTAGTATTGTGTGACAAGTGATCATCAGCCACATTTTCTAAGATTTGCTACGAATGTTGGGGGAGAGAGGCAAATTGAATAGAGATATAATAGATTTCCCTTTCTTTCATCTTCCAGTATTTATCTTTCCAGCCTGTTACCCATTGTGAACAGCTTCAGTGTGGATGGAAATAAATTACAAGGGTGAGATTTTTTCCTTTGAATTATTTATTTGATTCTGATATGTTATTATTTCTTAAATGTTTTTAATTTATTTAAAATTTTTTTTTTTATTTTAATATCATACAGCCCATTTTTCCCTAACAGTAGGTTTAAAAAATGAAGAGAATCCTTATTAAGCTAAGAGGATTTCTGTTTGATTTTGCCCTCTTAATGCCTTACATTTAATTTGACATTTACAAATTACATTCTCACATTCTCTTGGTTGTTAACAGGTTTAAATTCACAAATTTATAATTAAAAAAAATGATTAATTTTATGTATTAGTCACAATGTGTACTCGGGGAGGGACTAGTTGACAGTGTAGGAATTGCCAAAAAAGTGGGCCTTTTTTGACAATTCCTGACAGCTAATTCAAGGTTTCCACCTTATATTAACAAAAGAGTGAGAATAAAAATTTATTTAAAGGGTCCACCACAAACTAAATATTAATGAACTCAGGTGGGAATCAAATCCATACTATTCTGACTCAGACATTGAAGTTCTTCTGAAGTCTCTAAATTCAACCTACCATTGATAACTCATTAGTGTTTGTCACTTTTTATTATTTAACATAGGAAATTTTCTTTAATAAAAGAAGAAATTAAAAAACTTCCTGTATGTTTGAATACATCAATAAACAAAGATCTTCCAATAATCAAGGTGTTATAACATTTGTTAAAGATCAATTTAACTCATACAGTAATTTATTCCCTATAGCTGGGAAATTACTGAATGAAACTTTCACTATTTTTCCTTTATTTTATATTTCTACACAGCAAAATCAGAAAAATATTTAGCTTTAAAATATAATTCATAGAACTAATTTAATTTTAATTCAGTATAGGATAAGTATTAAAATAAAGACAAACATTTGGTTTTCTCTTGCAGCAAGAAAATGGCACTCCACAGGCTTCCCTGCTTCCAACAGCTTGCGACGAACAATTAAAATAGTTATTTTTATCCCAGTCTTTTGGACCTTCTATACCACAGCATTGTAACTAAAAAATAAAACAAAAAAAAAAAAAATCAAAATGTCATGTCATTCGTTATTTAAAAAAAAAAACTCCATTGTATAGTATGCAATAATAAAAAAAAATATAATGTGAGATTTATTATTTAAATGAGTTTATAAGTTATAACTGTAACAAACCTTGATTTTATCACTGAGAAAAATTACTTAAAAGGATAATTCTTTAAAGAATTTAAATTAGAAAATTTAATTTTTAATTTATAGACTGATTTCTTTAAATAAGTGACCAAGAAATGCATTGTGAGACCATTAATATTTAAACATAAAATAAAATTTAATTTTATGACAATAAAAAAAAAAAAAAAAAAATACCCAGTCTTCTTGTATCCAGTCAATGAGATTCTGCTGATCAGGATCTTCTCTATAATGTATAATGAATGCTTGGAACCCATCGGTGGCCTGCATTTTTATCTGAAATTTAATACAATTGTCTTATAAAGGTAAATATATTTTCAACAGCTATTTTTTTTTTTTTTAGTTTTAATAAATATGAAAATAAAAATTACAAGAAAGAACATGTTTAGTAATTTTCTGTATCAACTTTAAATTACTAAAACAATTATGCTTGTTATTTTGATGTATATGGACACTCCACAAGAGGCACCTTTTCTTCCAGAAAGCTAATAAAGGAAAATCTGTCTTGAAAAAAAGAGTAACTTCATGCAAGAACACAGATGGAAACCTACTGACAGGCAAACAGAATATCCTGGAGAGATGAGGATACACTTCAAAAACATCCTCACAAACGTGTAGAAAATGGAGAGCCTCTGCAGATTCGAGAGCATAAGACCGAAGATCTTCAAAATGACTTGGAGCCACTGGATGAAGAAGAAGTCGAGGTGGCGTCTTGAAGTTAAAGAATTACAAGATGGAGTGGTATACAGGTAGAGTTGCTGCGATACAGAGGAGAAGGACTTTTAAAGGAACTTGGGAAGAGGAAAGAATGATTGAAGTTTGCAGAAGAGGCATCATATGTCAATACACTTCACAAGATGGAGAGTGAAAATCATCGAGGCATAGTACTTTTCTCAATTATCTGCAAGGTGTTAACAAACATCTTTTTTGATAGACTCGTTCTCCACGCTGAAAGAGAGATAGGTAAGAACAAGACAGGATTCAGCAGTGGTAAATCAACTAAAGACCAGATTTTCTCCTTGAGAACGATCCTCGAGAAAGCAAATGAGTACAAAATGGCTACCTATCAACTTTTTCCTGAGCTTCAAATCTGCACACAACAGTGTAACCTGACCAGAGCTCTACCAGAAGTGGAAGAAACGAGCATCGCGAAAAAATTGATCTGTCTTGTAAGTATGACCATGTTGAGTTCAAACAGTATTGGAGCTGATCTATCCCATAACAACTAACTGCGGTGTGAGACAAGGAGACGCTCTGCCATACCTCCTTTTCAATTTCCCATGGGAGAGAACTGTGCGTATCAGACATTCAAACTTTGGCCTCTCTGATTAATTCAGTTCAGCTGTTGGGATACGCAGACAACTTTGATATTGCTGAAAGATCCGAACATGCCCTCAGAGATGCAGTCCTTGCTATTTAAGAAGAAACAAAAAAACTAGGCTTGACTATCAATGAATCCAAGACACAATATATGAAAACATGTGAAGTAGGGACGGGAAATTGTTTATTTGAAGTTGGCCCCTACAGACTTAAAATTGTGGAAAGTTTCAAATACCTGGATTCAGAGGTGAACGTTCGAAATGGTGTCTGTAGAAATCTACAGGAGGATTGCTGCAGCTAACCGTTGCTACTTTGGTCTGACAAAGCATTTTAGGAGCAGGTGCCTCTCCAACAAGGCAAAGATCAGCCTGTATAAGACCTTGTTCTTACAAAGTAAGACTCATTCTTACATATGGATCAGGAGCATGGGTCTACACCAGAGATGATGAGAGAAGGTTGCTAGTATTCAAAAGAAGAATACTAAGGAAATTTTTTGGCTCTGTTCGAGAGGGAAACACCTGCAGAAGACGGAAGAATATTGAGCTTTCCTTGTATGATGGTATTGATGTTATCAAGTATATAAAGCTTGGGAGGCTTCAATGGGCAGGCCACGTGAAGAGGATAGAGGATCACAACATGAGTAAGAAGATTTTAACCGATGATCTTCACAGCAAGTGTAGGGCTGATCAGCATATAAGATGGGCCAACTGTCACTGCGGTTGCGTAGGTCCTTCATGGTACCCGCCACTGGAGAGCTGTTGCAACAGACCGAGCCAACTAGGGAAGGCTTTTAGAAGAGGCCCAGACTCACTGATGGGTCTTAGCATCAATTGTGATGATGATGATGCTTTTTATTTTATGAAAGTAGATAAACATAGTTATAGCATGTTGTTGAGTTCAGAAAAACCTTATTACTTTATATTACAAACCTATGTTCAAAACAATAAAAATATCCAGCTGGAGATATAAAAAATAATAAGTTTTCTAATTGTCGACTGCAAGCTACTATGTGATACATATTGGGTATCTGATAACTGAAAATTATAGACAACAGAAATAGTACATGGTGTCTCTGAATAAAAATAATATTCTTTAAAGGTTAAAAAAATATTTTAATACAACAGAAAAAAATTAGATTAGAAACTTAACAAAATAAACTTACCCAGTCTTTGAAAATGAAGCCCAAGAGTCCTGCAGTCAACTCAAGTAACAGGATAATGAAAAGAAAAATGGCATACTGAAAAAAAAATATAAAAAATAAAAGTAAGTGATAAGATATATAATATATGCATGTATAAATAACTGAGTGTTTTAGGGACCCATTTCCCAAAATCACGTTTTGAATTTTTTTTTTTTTTATTGCTACATAACTATCTATATAAGTATAAAAAATAAATAAAACCAGTATCACCGAAACCCTTGAGGAATAATGGTGTTCATGTCATAAGATCTGGTACTTGATCAAGAAATACTGATCAAAAACATTAACATGAAATATAAAATATATAATGGGCAAATAGAAGCAAACACATATATCATATATTTATGAATAAAATAACAGTACAGTAGAGATGAAATTTAAAGAGTGTTATCACTGCAATAGGTCTAATTCAGATTCTATTTGCTCTTATATTGTTCTTTGTTCTTTCCGGAGACTTCAACACCAACCTATTATTTCCTTCCTCTGACCAAACCTATTTATTAAACCTCCTCTGCTCTCTTAATCTGTATTTAATCCTTTATAACCCTACCCATTAAACCCAGTACTACGATTCTTGGCCCGATCTCTGCATTATTGATTCTCAAGATAAACTCCTCGCCTCATCATAGCATTCAGTTCCTTCTTTGCCTATTCATGATCTCATACATATCATATATAACCTTCCTGTTCCGCTGTTCTGTCCCCCATCTAAATCTTTTAGAAATCTTAATTTCCTATCATCTGAAACTCTGACACCTGATCTTGACACAATCCAATGGGACTCCATATCTCTGCATTATTGACTCCTCGCCTCATCACAGCATCCGGTTTCTTTTTTACCAATTCATGATCTCATACAAGTCACCTATAACCTTCCTTTTCCGCTGTTCGGTTGCCGATCTAAATCGTTTAGAAATCTTAATTTCCTATCATCCGAAACTTTGACACAATCCAATGGGACTCCATGTACTCCGTCGATTTTATGGTAGAAACTTTAACCAATCATCTGCACATTATTCTGAACAGTCATGCTCCTCTTAAAGTTAGGACAATCAAGTATTTCCCAGCCCTTTGGTTGACACCTCCGATAAAATATTGTATTAAACGAAAAGATATGGCAAGACAAAGGTTTAAGCGCACTTGACTTTCCGAAGACTATACCAACTTCAAGCTGTTTCGAAACAGTGTAATCCTTGATACGCCGTGAAACACCATTACTTTCAACAATCCCTATTCAGCACTCCAAAGCCATAAGGGCAATCCTCTGTAAATCATCCTTAGGCAAACCCAGACTATCTCTATTTTAGATGATGTACTCAACACTCATTTTGTCTCCTGTACCTCCTATTCTTCTTCCTGCACCCCTCATTTATCCCTCCTTTAATCCTAATAATTTTTTCTTTTCTCATATTACCCCTGACGACCTCCTTAAATCCCAAAGTAATAATTTTGGAGCAGATATTATCACAGTTAAATTAATTAAATCATCACTTCGATCCATTTTCCAATCCTTTATCATATCTATAACTTTTCACTACAAAATTCCACTTTTCCCAGCACTCGGAAAACTGCTCTTGTTCTTCCATTGAACGAAACCTCTAATTAGGCAAGGCATCCCCTAATAATTGCCCTGTTATCTAACCTTTCCAAACCTTTAGAAGGAATAGTACAATCCCAACTATCTCCAAAAAAATAACCTTTTCCCATGGTTCTTCCATTGAAACCTCCCAGAATAAAAAAAAAAACTATATAGTTACCTTCCCTGTCAAGATGTGCCCCCCTCAAAAATGTTGAGGGCGCTAATTGCACCATGCAATCCCCTTTGAGAATCCTGGCAAAGTTCTCTCAAAGCAAAGACGAAAATAACGTTATACATTTTGGTTGATTATTTTCAATAATCAACCATTGTGATCGACCAAAAAATTCAAAAACTTAATCTCCTCTCAAAATTTGAGGTTTCACGTTTCAAAATGCGTAGAATTCGAAAAACAAATAAAATTTTTTTGTCCGTCCGCCGTTTATTTTCTCCGTAACTACTGGACCGATTTTTTTTTCAAATTTTGAAATAAAATCAGAGGTAACCGGAGGAAGATCCTCCTTCATCGACATTACTATCCGCCTTTTACTTTCAAAATGGCGGCCGAAAAACCTGCGATGCTATAGACTGTAGCTCCTAAATGAATGCACAGATTTTAATGAAACTTCGCTAAAGTCATTTTCTCGACGCCCTTTAAATTTATCTATATAACATACTTCAACGAAAAGAAGCTGGAAAAAAAGTTACGAGGGATGGTAAAATTAAATTCCGAATAACTCGAAAAGTTAATACTTTTTTGTCGATATTGTATATGGTTTTTTAACATTTTACGAAATTTCCTAAAAAACAAAAAAAAGTCGTTAAAATCGGACAATTAGGAGCAAAGATATGGTCTCCGGTTTTTTTAATATGTTCTACTTCAAATGTTATATCCTTGGTTTGGTTTTTAAATTTTAAAAGTGTTACTGAAGTAATGCTATTTTTTTTTAGCATATTACTAATGATTAAAAAAAAAAGTTATTTGGAATCACCTTTTGTTTATTTTTCTTTGTAACTCGGAAGGTAATGTTACTTTTGGTGTATAAGTGTTTGGACATAATAAACCATTGTGAAATAATTTGCAGCGTTTTTTGACTTGCACTGCGAATAGAACTATTGGGATGTAGTATTAAAAGGTGATTTCTTTTTTAAAACAAAAATTACTATTCAAATTGCGGTAACAACCCTTCAAGTACTCGAACCAAAAGCGAGAGATGGTGCGTTAATCTCATTCTTATTTATTGTTTAAGATTAAAACATTTATTTCTTTGTGGATTTACGAAATAAAACTCGAATCATTCACTCATTGTACATTGGGTTCGGAAACGAAACCTTCTTCAAAGATGGGTGTGCGTACTGTGAAACTCTTAGTCTTAGTGGATTCAAAGTTTGAATCTTATACCACAGTCGTGGTCTACATACCCGCAGGGTCAGGTCCTTCCGCTTAAAATCACGAGAGATTCATTCCTTATCGTGAATAAGAACTTAACAGATATGACGGGATATTGAGCATGTTGTAGCCTGAAAAAATATAAATTACATGTTGCTTGTAATTTTTATATAGGCATATAAACAATAGGGATAAAAAAATATGAATAGAGTTAATTTAATTATGTTAGCTTTGATCCATTCGCCATTCAATAATATAAAACAGAATCGAAGTAAAAACTAGCTAATTTATAAAAAACAAAACAAACGTTATATCACTGGTTGGAATAATACAATTGTTTGGTTAAAAAATAAAATTAAGATAGGAAAAATGGACGTTTATATAAAAAAATAAACTGATTTTACATGGATTTAGTATTGTCAATCTTCAATATTAAAATCTGGAACGAAGGTGAAGAAACCAACAATAGCAGACCTAATCAATCAACCTACAGTTAGAACCATAAAATCTGAATTATGAAAGATTATTGTCAATTGTTTTTCATCAATGAACTAAAACTATGTAAATACATAGTACATATACAGGATGTTTCAGGATTAAGTGGCCAAACTGCAAAAGTGAACTAAGAACCTCAAAACAAGAAAAAAAATCTCCTGAAGGTATGTTCGCAAACGCTTTATTCAGCAGATATTCACACCAAAAGATTTTCGTTGTTATATATACAAATTTTAATATTTATATTGCTGTAATCTATACAATTAAATATTAAATAATACCAATGCCAGCATATATGAAAACTGCATTATGTATATGCATATACTATTATCGGAGTCTGTATTATATTAAGCACGTGTTACATATGGAAGCCAATTCTACTCTTTCGGGCGAGCTCGGATGCGCTCTGGTTTCTACGGTCGCTCTTATTACTACTATTCTCCGCTATCCCTTATTTCCCCTTTAGTTAATTACCAAATTCTTTCATATTTTAAAATTAGCCATTTTTTAAATAGTAGATTACAACGTGAAATGGTTAATTAATTCAAATAAAAAAAATTAAAGGGACTTCAGAGGAAGAAATTACGTATTTAATCCCTGCTAGAGAATATCAACGAGAATAAGATCTACATCATATAAAAGATCCTTTAACTTTACAAAGATCTAATGAATTAAATCAAAATCGTCAGAGCTGTTTTCGAGAAAGTTGTGAAAAAGTGTAAAGTTGATGATATAAAGTGGCACTTCCGGTTAGCCGAAAAAAAGAAAAAGTTGCTGTAACATCCTAGGAATGTACAAATCCTAAGTCCTTACCAACCTTAAGTTGCATACGGCTTTTCGTTTTTTAGCTAGACTGTTTATACACACAACGACGTCTAATGAACTGCGCAATACATTTTGTTTTCGAAATCTCAAGAGACGCATATAACCCTGTATTACAACAAGTTGAAGTGGCTCTATCCATCCAACCGCCGTCTGTACTTCCTTGCTACCTTTCTATACCAAGCCATCAGAACTCCGCGGCCTTCCTATATTTTTTACAGCCTACACATTCAAATATTCCATTCCCACATTCAAATATCCCGTTCCGCTAGATCTCGTACCTCCGACCTCTATCCTCCTCCTCACCGAACTGCAGCTTTTGACAAATCCTTTACAATTCAAGCCGTCTCCTTCTAGAATACCATCCCTCCCGATATCCGACATGTACAATCAGTTTCCTCAGTTAAACCTCTCCTTTTTAAGCACATACTCCTTTCCCAACCCGTGTGATCATGAAATGTAGATAAGAGAACTTTTTAAAGTTCCCCAGAAATTATTTTCTTTACTTATGCTATTTTATTTTTCCACGTATATATCATACATATCAGTATGTTTTTAGTGTAATTGTTTTCTTCTTTTTCCAAAATCTTAATCTTAATAAGAATTGAAATTAATTAATTTTATGTATGGCCACAAAGGCATTTATTCTGTTTCTGTAATTTGTCCTAAAGGGACAACAGTCTCAGGATAATAAAAAAATATTTTAATTTCATTTCTACGACCATTTTGCAGGACTTGGTTATTTGGACTCAGGGGACCTCAAAACATGTATTTTCGTTGAAAATTGAGGTTCGAAAATTTTCACGATTGCATTACTTTGTATTACTATATATTATATATATAGGTAAGTGAAAGTAAAAATTATTTAAACTGAACATGGTATGAATTGTATGAAGGCGCCTAAGGTATACCATTCCGCTTGACAAAATGATATTTCTGAGGAGATACCAACTGATATGAATTAAATAAACGAAAATGACATTTGGTGCTTGTTTCAGAGATAAAACTACGATTATGTCTCATTACGGTCAAGCTATAGATGTAGCTTACTGTTGCTCGTTGCTATACTGTAGATTCGTAGCGCGTTGTCATTTATGAAGGACGGAAGTCCTGAAGTTCTTCTATCTACGACCCGATATCGAAGAAATTTTGAAGAAAAAATATAACGATTTTCTCATCTTAAAGTTGGTATAACCATTAAAACTGGAGGTATCAAAGTGAACACCAAAGGTATAATTTCATTTAAAATATAAGTTGTTCATGGGTTCACAATTTCAATAATTTACTTTTAATTCGTGATTGACAAGAATTGGGCAACCATTGGTATGCATTAAAAACAATCCAGCTCTAGCCTTTATGAGCTTTAGAGTAACTCCTCCCGCCGCTCAATACCTGGATTGGATTAAGAGGATATGTACACATGTGAGCTGACAGATCGATGTTCTACTTACTGCTGCCAACAGGCAGGTGTTCTCCCTCAGGGCACCTACGCAGCCTGTGAACCCGATGATAAACGTCACTCCACCTACAAAATCAAAAATGAAAATGGTTTAGTGTTTTGTGGTTATGATTAGAATATATATCATTGGATTGTAATATAATATCAAGAGCAGTAGTCTACCCTCTAAGCTTAAATTTCCAACTATTAATTATTTAATTCTATATAGAAGAGGTTGCAGAACAGATTTCCAAATGCAAGTATTTTTTCTGTCCTCATGATACCTGAATTGGCGAAAAATTTACTGGTATTTTAGAAATTTGATGGTTTATTTTAAAATCATCATTAACTAGCGTACTGCTGATGAAGTTTTTATTTTTTTGAAACTTTATTTATTGAGATATACAACTACTTATCCCTCATACATTAAGTGAAGAGCATCTCATAAATAAAACATTCAATTGTGAGAAAATTGATTACATACATTTAAACCGTCATGATATCAATTCTATTCGTAAATTGTAGATTATAACTATAATAGGTTTTATGACCAAATGTATATTTAGCATACATTTTTCTAATATTTTTCAAACATTTATACCTATTTTTATGAAGATAGTAAATTGTTAGGATTTGCAGTCCAAATATGGTTTATTAGGCTTGCCGAAGTTTCGCTTGGATCTTTATATTTTGGTTTACTTATATACTTTTACCTAAATCTGATATTTATGATGTGATTTTTTTAATTTTTAGCCCTAATGATGACCCACAATGCTTAGGTCGAAACGTCGGTAAGGCTAATATATCATACCTACACTTTAAATTCTAACTATTTATCTTCCTTATAATTTTATAATAACAATAAAAAAAATGTATTCACCTCAATAACTATTGTTATACGATACATGCGAATATAAGAAATAAAATTAATATTACCTAAATTATATTGATACATAATACTCTCTCAAGGATAGGATACATAAGAGACACATTACTTATGACATGGCGGATACCGTCTCAATTCATCCTCAGCGGGGTAAATTTAAAGAAGTCCTGAGTGAGTTTTATAAGTGCGAAGCTAAGTTGTATGAGGCTAGACAGTGGACTTGGAACAGATTTTGAAAAGTAGTACGAAACTGGCAGAAAAATTGTTCAATTAAAAAAATTAGTACATTAAGTCTTGGATTCTGTCTAGACAAAGAAATACTATTTCGTAATAAGGAGGTAATTTTTACTTCAGGTCAATCGCTAGATTTTCTATCCAACCGATGAAAGGTTTAGACACCCATTTTACTCATGGTATGAACAAAGAAGAGTCTTGCAAAATTAGAGATAAAGATAATTTGAAAAATAATTTCATAATGTTTTAAATAAAATATTTTTTTATCATTTCCTATTATATTGGTGACATTTGTTTTACGAACAAAATGGAATGACTTTCAATCGATATTCGATTCGACATGATATTAGTCCTCAATATACCTGAATTAAGCTAAATATTGATTGCGTAGTGATTGACTTATGACTTACCTAATTCGACTAATTTAAAGTTTACTCTTAATATTTACGCTTATAAGTTGAGTATTACTTGATGGTTTGTGAATGTCTAAATGTTTTACACTTCTTATCGAACGAGTAAAATATAAATCAATTAAGCACCTACACCACAGCAATCCATTCAAACGCTGATAAATCAGACATGGGCTATGTTGCTACTTGGCGCTTAAACCTGTCATCATCGCTCCCGATAGGAGACAGTACCGACCGTGGTTGGCGCGATGAGCAGCTACCTCATGACAAACATGGACGATTACAATGTCAACATCAATAGACAACCTGTTGAGCAAGGCTCCCGCAATTAGGGTCAATCAGATTAGGTCGCGGACCCTGGCAATTTAATAATTCGCATTGCCACACGGCATGGGTAATACCTGACCCATCACTTTCTACGGAAGGCCATGGCGAATGGGATATTACCATGTTTCGAGGCTAAGTGACAGAATTCATACTGTAACGCCATACTTGTTTACGAACAGAAAAATAAAGCCTTTGCGTTGGTTTCTGTTGAATAAATGAAGGTCACGCTAACGGAAATGGGATGTCGGAGGTAAACAGCGTGAACGAAGAAAAGATTTTTTATATACAAGATCGTTGAAGATGATTCTAGGTCCACTTTCTTATAAATAAGATTGTTTCATCACTCTGCACCAGGAGAAGCCACCCCCTCCTGTCTGTGAATGTAGCTTTATTACTCCCCTCTTTTTAAAAACGGAGCAAATGAAAGTAGAATGAGAAACACTTTAGTTTATTTAAAGTTGTACTTGCTTTGTTATTGAAAAAATGAGAAACGCATCCAATGACATGGACAGAGTGTTAAATATTAAATCAAACCCAAGATACACAAAAATCTGCTCCTTTAATACCATCGGATCAGGAAACTATCTGCAGTTCAAGGCTCTAAATATGAAGAAACTGCTTATTGGGTACTAAGAGCCGTCAGTCGTCTCAGAGGAGCTAGCAATGAGTTTGTAAAAGTATACATAAAAGATGCTTCTCTCACTCACTATTAAATCTAACGAAGTATGTGAAGCCTTATGACTGACCCGATGCCTCATTTTTTGATCCACTGCAGAAAATTTGTTGAACTTAGAAATAAGTTCTTAAAGACATTCATTGTTGAATCAAGGGATGACCTACCGTAGAAGATATATTAAAGATAGACAGTCGAAACATTGAATCAACTATATTATTTCATAAAAGGATGTTCAATAAACTCTTAACAAGTATAATTAATCACTATAAAAAAATGTTAATGCATATCTATATTGTTATTTATTTAATACATCTAAAATATAAAAAAATAAAAATGATTTACTTAAATATTGTTTTACTAATTATATCTTATATGTATTGTTGCTAATTTGTTATGGGTAATATTTAATGCATTGAGTGTTGTTAATATTATGTTTGAACACAGAACTGGACTCAAAAAACATTGTTCATAGTATCTATGTATTTATTTATACAGACAATTCTTTGGCAAATAAAAAACAGTTGTACTTGTTGTGCTCTTTTCTATGTTTTTCCCATGCTTTGAAAGTTCTCCAAAATTGAACCAACCCAAAAATATAGCCTTTTCTAAAATTCTTAATCCCGTCAAAATGTATCTCACTAAAAAATATTGATGCTTCATGCATGCCACCCTCATCTGTGCACTCCTACTTTGAACGCATTTATTGGTGATATAAATACAGGAATTTTTTCGACGTACATATATATGAACTTACCAAGATATCAATTGTCTATATACCTATATAAACTGTACATTGAGCTTTAGGTTTTGTACTACAGTATACACTGTATCATCAGTAAAATGTATACAAGGAATTTGATATATCTGATATATCCATATTTAGAAGGAAAAAAGATTTAATTGTTGGCCGTGTAATAATTCACCATACTAAAACTAAACGTCACGAAGTCTACAATGCTGAAGACGTACATTACAAACCCAATACATAACCGTGTTTGATCTCAACATCAGTTAGCTTACATCCGATAGATATCAGTCAGCGAGCAATAAGACCCATTCCAATTTTTTTGTAGCAAATCGATCTTCTGAGTCCTGGAGTATGGGATTAGAATCCAGAACGACGTTGTATAGAACTGATAATGCCGCAACGACGTACCGCTGACAACACATCAACACTATTAAAAATGAGATGCTTAATGTCATTTTTAGGGTTATATCCAAAACCTGTAGCAAAATACTCCAGATTAAGCAGAGGAGGTGAATGAGGGACACATTATTACGGAGCTATGAATCTTATAAGAAAAACATGCATGCGTGCTACTGGCCTCGGCTTATCCAGCTCCGGTTGAGCCAACGAGTGATAGGAGTAAAGCTTCTAGTTTAAGATATTGGAAACAAATATTTTTAAACGAAGAAGCAAAGGTTTATTTCTGAACGATTGTACGGTATTCCGGTTAAACACTCTATTTGTATGCTGCTTGATCCACGGTGCTAGATATTCAAATACATTACATTTGAATATATGTTTATTGAATATATTTGTAATACATAATGCATTCACGTCATCTGGTTGTGTATTGTGTGTTGTAAACTGCAATGTGTTTATTTAATTCTTTAGTAGAATGTATGTCTACTTCTAGCACGTCTACAAATTTTAAAGTGTATGCTACAAACCAGAGTTTGAAATTGATAATTAAAAAAATCAAATCCAATCAAAATTTATATCTGTAATTTTTAAAAACTATGTAATGATTTCTATCAAGAGCGATTTTTATTTTTGATAAGTGTTAAAAATCATATCTTGATCATTATTTTTGAAAAAAAAAAATGTATATATATATGAACTGCTTCACTACATGAAACTGGAAGAGTTTAATTTTAAAAGAAGATTTTTTTCCTAGTGCTCAGGTGTCAATCAGAAAGGTAAGTCGCTAAGGATGTACTTCACTGGTGAAAACACACTCTCAACAGTAGCCTGTGTAGCAATTAAAGCGATTTCAGAAATATATTATTTAAAAATGCGGACATCAATAACGTATTGATACATATTAATTTGTATGTAAAACGTGATTTTTATTTTCTGATCCAATGTTTTTTTTATAATAATTTAATCTTTATTATTTATGTAAGATCGTATCACTCAGTGACTGATCATTATTTGTAATCGAATAAATAAAAGCCAAAGATTGATTTAAAATTTTATACATAAATCAGACATGGTTTTTAAATTAAAAATGAAATATCATAATTATTATACGGCTTTATGGAAAAAATAATTATTGATTTCAAACCCTAGATCACAAAACGATGATTTCAACGCATGTCTAGATAAGAATACACCCATTTGAAGAAGAAGTGTATTCAGGATTTCATTTCAGGGGGAGAATTTTTTTTTTAATTCATCGATTTATTTTTTATAACGGTAATTACTTTGGAAAAAAATGATAAAGTTTGAAAGAACTATATAGAATATATTCAGTGGTCCATGAATGCCAGTTAAAAAATAAATAAATTATTAAAACAAAAATAACAAGCATTATAGAAACAATAATAC